TTTTAATAAATAATAAATATAATACAATTAATAAATAATTAATAGATAAAAATTGAATAATTTTCAAAATATGAAAAAACTAAATTTTTATTTAAAAATATTTTACTAAATATTAAATAAAACACATAATGATCCGGGAATCAACTCGTACATACTTCCTGATGACCCGGGAATCAATTTGTACATACCTCTTAATGACCCGGGAATCAACTAAACGGTATTGGTGCAGGTAAACAGGTACCCGGGAATCAACTAGTATGCGGCTATACTTCTCACTCCCTGGAAACCCACAACGTAGACTTAAAAGAAAATGGTATTGTGACCATTTAATTTAAATATTCCTCTGTAATACCCTAAACAAAACCAAGCTAAGTGCCACTAATGGATAGCTTCTTATTCAATAAACCCATGTTCTAACCCTTATCCTATATGCTTATTGTATAAAATTGTTTAGATTGTGTATTGCATTAGTGAAAAGAAAAAACTATTATTTATCAAAATAGTTATGTGAATTTGATCTTAAAAAAAAATCCAATGTTAAAATCTACAATGACAATAATAACGATGAAAATTATATTGATTTAAATTTTAAGATATGACCTACTTTATGGTCTATTCAATACCATCTACTTCAATAGGTTAAACTTGTTATCTGTTTCTCCACCAACAGTGCTTGTCCGTATAATAATTCATTGGTTCCTAGTTAAGACTATTGCTAATTGCTAGTATGGTACACAAAACATTATGCACAATACTTATACATAATAAATTTATTATAATATTATTTTGAGATTTTTTTCTGTCGAAATCATATGATATCCACAGTACTTTTAATGTAAAAAAAGCTGCCGTTGTATATGAGGTAACTGGCCTATACTGCTGCATCCAAAACCTTGTTCTGGGCCCGAAAACTTTGAAAACATAACCACGTCACACAACATCTGTACACATTGAGTTCCAAATTTAATATTTCACTTTCGATTTTACTTACGTTTGATTGATTTAATAGTTTACATGGCAGAACAATGTTTTCAAATTGATATAAATGAGGTATTAATTTTATATTGTACCAAAATAAGTTTATCATTATAAAAAAATATTTAAAAGATCTTAAACTTAATCACATTACATACAAATTGTATTTGTTATGTTATAAATTATAATAGTGTTGTGTTTAACTTGCACCAACACTAGTTACGCCTTTGAGATGGCTTCTTAAATTGTATCTACTTTTAGTTTTTGTTGAATCTTTATGTAAACATTATTATTTGACAACCAATTTATTAATATTGACTTTTTACAACTGATAACCAATATTTCAATAATTTATAGTATGATAAATACCAAATAATTGTAAAAGTATATTATGTACACAATACTTTAAAATTAATTTTAAAATACCATTAAAAGTTAAATTTTTTTTTTATCTTTTAGAATGCCTAAACCTAAGAAAGAAACTGTGAAAGATAAAAAACCATGTACATCAAAAAAGACTGCTTCTAAAAAACTTAAAAAACCTCCTTTTAAATTTAATATACATGAAATTGTTAAAAAGAGGCGATTAGAAGGAAAGCTTTTGGAACAAACTGCTAAACTCAGAACTAACCTTGAGGAAGAGATTGAAGTTATTGATGAATTGTATCAAGAAAAACTTCATCCAACTACTGATTTTGAAGAAAATGACAAACTTCCTCTTGTTTCTACACATTTTGATCCTGTCAGCTTCTCTAATTATAATATACCCTTTAAAAACAACTCAGATTCTGATTTAACAAAATTGTGTATACAACGCTTACACATTATGTCAATTGAAAGAAATGAACTTGAAGCCAACATTCATTTTAACCATTTGATGAGAGCAAATTGGTCACCAGTATTTGATGTATGTTTCAAAAACAATAAATTCTATACAATTTGTCTATTTGATAAATAATTACAACTGTAATTTTTTGCTTAAAGATAATTATTATTAAAGAGTGATAAATGTTTTTCAGAATGTCCAAAATATTTTATGCAAATGGCGAGCTGATTTGGATACTCTAACTAATGGTCGATCAATTGAGTATCAAGTAAAAGATTATAATAACATAGAACGGCACAATTTTGAATTAATAATAAATTTCATATCTCATTGTGTATTGAAAAACAATAAGAAATTTAGTGTTGAAGAACTACTAATAATAGCCAAGCATACTGTTACAATATACTTTCACCTTTGTAGACAAATGATAAATGTGTTAAAACGATTATTTAGTGCTTGTATCAAAACGGCATTAGAAGAAACCAATAGTCTCGCTATTATGAAATTTGCTCAAGAATTGTATTCAGAATACAATAAAAACGATTTATTGAATATGACGGTTGATTTATTTCTGCCTTTGGAAGGGAAAATAATGGAAAAAATATATTCCTATTTAACACATAAACTATACAAATCTCTTCTAGGAAAGACTGACAATGAGAATACATTACCATCCAGCATCAGAGAATGGTAAGTATTACTTGATTATTTTTAGATTTTAGCTAAACGATTAACTATAGAATTTTTAAATCCTCCAACCATGCATTTAATATCTTTTAAAAACATGTTTGTATATTATTATGCATTTTAACAAACAACTTTGCTGCTATTAAATTAATTGTCAATCGAAATAATACTTTTTATTTTTATTTATTTTTTAAACCACTAGTATATAACTAACATAACTCCGCAATTACAATATAATAAAAAAAAATATAGACAATCTATTGTTTTTACTTAATGGTGTACATAATGTACTTAGGAAGAGGCACCCAGTATAGATCAAATTTATAAAATACATTTTTGTATCAAATATGAGTAAAAAAGTATTGAAGTTTCATTGTATTTTCTTTTTTTATTCTAATGATTGGTATAAAATGTATCATAAGGTAGTTTCAATGCTTGAGTATTAATCTTAAATACAATTTTGTTTAGGTTCGTACAAGATTTGGTAGATAAGAATTATTTCAAAAAAAGTCCAAAGAAAGTATTGTTTAGTGTTGTTCAATTGTTGGAACATGTTGTATTTATATTTGATTTATACAAAGAAGAAGAAAAACTACAAGACATGTATAACTTTCTGAATGCTGCAATCAAACCAAGTGGATTGTCAGATTCTATGAAACTCATTAATATATTAGACCAATGGAGGTTGCGGTTATTCCGTTTTTATGTCAACCGCCAAGCTGATTGTAAGCTTGTAAACAATTACACTACTAATGAATAAGTATTAATTTATAAGCAAATCTTAAGTATTATCCATTTTATAGTTTATTTTCTGTATACAAAATGCATGTTATTATTACACAGGTAAGTGAATTAATTTATGAAAACAATGTTATCTTGATTAAAAATTTTATTTGTATTATTATAATTTATATTGATTTATATAATAACTAGTATAAGATAACGGCAAAATTAAAAACAAATAAACTAAAAAAAAAATTATCTTCATTTATCTAATTAACTTTTATACAGGTATGGAATAATTTGTCGGAGTTTATGTTTTGTTGTAACATTGATTAGAAAATGTCCAAAACATTAGAGCGATTTGGTGTTTATTAACCTGTAATATGTAAAACGCTCACGGGTGCTAAAAAGGAATCTTGCTTTAAAAGGATTTCATGCCTGTGATTCGCTTGTGTCTCTGTCTTACAACATTCAACATGGCAAATTTTGCCTTCACAATAATACATTTTTCTCCATACTATTGTAAATTGACCTATGATAAAATTAAAAAATATGATTATTGTTTGGGGTATCTCGGAGGATTTCATTGATATTTTTATTAAGAATAATCTCTTAATAACTGTAAATTTTCGTTCATTTTAAAATGAACATAACTTGCTTAAAAACAACATTAATATCAATAAAATCATCCAAAATGCCGTAGATCAGGGGTCTCCAACCTACGGCCCGCGGGCCGGTTCTGGCCCGCCAAGCATTTTGCACCGGCCCGCCAAGCTAATATATCATTTTTCATTATTTTTAATTTATTTTTTATTGAATTGATTAATAAAATAAAATGAATTTATAATATTTTCTTTTGGTAGGTATTATTCATAACAACGTATAATAGTTATACATATACACTAATACTAACTAATAATAGATAAACTCGTCAATCACACATTTTTTTTGTTTTAGACAACACATTTCTAAAAATGTTGGCCCGCGATGCCAAAGCGTATATCAAATTTGACCCGCCGTAAAAAAAGGTTGGAGACCCCTGCCGTAGATAATAATCTCACCTTTAAATTTAACCATAAATCAATTTACTCTTATTTCCAAGTTAACAGAGTTAAAAATGGGTCATTGTTCATGTAAAGGTTATTATGTTGTTAATTTGTAAGACATTTAGGTGTGCATTCTCTTAGGATAAAATTAGAATTATTATTAAAATTAAATATTATATTGTTTATTTTAAACTAGCCAATTTTATAAATTAATAATGACGGCATTGAGGACATTTATTATTGTAAGCAAAAAATTGTTTTTAAAAATATAAATAATATTTGACATAATTTGTTCCCTCATAAATATTGAATGTCTTAATGTTCATGATTATGTAGAATCCTAATAAAAAGCTCTCTTCATAAAACAATGCATATATTTTTCTTTTATAAGCAATAAAAAAGTTATTAGATCAAGGGGTACGTGAACATTTCCTATGTGCAGGTTGCACATTGATATAAAAAGACCAGATCAGCAAAAGTTCTAAAACCTATAAGTTGCATTTAAATATGCTGTAGATTTTTAGCAAAACGATGAATGTGTTGATTTTACATTGATGTATTATCTTTTTATTTTTGTACCTTAAGAGCTTAGACATTTTCCTAGTAAAATGCTGCTATCATTTACATAGGTTCAGCTAACAAATTGTAGCTAGTTTTAGCTTGTTGCATAACATCTATTGACTATTTGAATAATTTATCTTCGCTTCTTTTCTATGATAACTTCTTGTTTGATGTTAATCTAAATATATTAAAAATTACAACAATCAATTAATAATATTTAAGTATAATATTTTTGTATAAAAAATTTACAACTCAAATTAATTTAACATCATAGACCTCGATTTTACAATATTTGTTGGCACCATGTATGATATTTTGTGACTTCACATTACACTGTATTTTGTAATATTCTCTATAGATTTCTTATTATTATTTATCAAATTAACATTGTAAAAGGTAGAAGAGTTACAAATATTCCACGGAGTATCAGTTGTGTATTTCAGTTATTAACCATCATAATTGTTCAATCACTATTGAACAAAATACAATTTATTTTTCTGAAAGTTCTTCTGTGATGGTCCTGTGGCCAACTCTCGAGGAAACATTCTAGTATATTTTGTAATTTGTCCAATCTCCATGTATTTCCAATTTCTTATTCAATAGTTATCACATTTGGCATATTTATAATAAATAGTAATAGTAATAATATAAATATGATATTTTATAACAAAGAAAAAAAGTTAACTCATAGATATGAGATGATAATAATAACTTAATTTAAAACATAATAAATGCAAATAATTTAATTTATTTTTATTATTTTATTTTACTTTTTTATCCTTATAAACAGCAAAATATAAGGGTATGTTTTAAACAAGTCATTAAGAACTTTTAAAACTTAAGATTACACAAATTTAACTATTTATAGTCTTTTTATTTAAAAAAAACTGAAGGAGACTGAATGTCATTCAGTCACTCGATGAATCAGAATCTCTACGCTTTTTCTTTGATACTGCGAATACAAGACAATATTAAATATATTATATTCATATTTAATTGACATTTTAATCTACTTACAGTCATTTACAACTCTTCTGTTATTGCTTGACTTCACATTTTTTTGTTTTGGTATAGCGCCACTAGATGGGTTTTGGTATGCAGGAGAACTGTTAATTGCAGAAGCTAACTCTGAATGATTTAATCTTGAACTTTTGAAAAAGCAAATTGAATAAGTCAATTATTTTAATCAATTAGATAAATATTTTTTATTAATATGCTAAATTTTAAGCTATGTCATTAATCAGTATTAATACAAATATTAACGATTAGTAATTTGTTAAATTTGAAAATCAGCTATTATATTTAAATAATTTTCATATCATATAACATAAAAATTTATAATGTTTACCTAATTATCATTATCATTTAAATATTATGATTCAATTTATAAAAATCTTCAACTTTATTTACAATTTAACCAAACATTTAAATTAATGCACAAAAGTATTGTTCAAACAAAGTTAGTTAATAATTTTTTTAATTTAATAAAAATAATTATATCATACCTCCTAATAGACAGATTATTGATATAAATGAGTCATTTTTTAAAGTTCATTGAGATTATTTTTTATATTCAATTATAAAGTTTTAGAAACAATTATTTTAAGATTAGATAATAATAGCTTACTTCGATATGAACTGCAAATAGTTGTTACGAGCAGAGTTGTTTACATAACGATTATCCATTGGTATGTTTGGCCTACTTGGATTTTGTCTATTTAGTTTGACCCGTGGTAGTATCTGTTTTATTTGTGGATCATATGTTGATGCAGAAGATTGAGCATTAGCTTCAGGGTTCCTCAATATTAAGGTTCTACTAGTGAGATTAGCTGGAGCTGAAATAGAGTTAAAATTAAGAACTCGAGATACTATAAATGCAAATATGTATACATGATAAAATTTTCAAATATTAATAAAGTCTAAAATCTAACCATGAATCGATATTTAAATAGTAGAAAAAATGGAACTATACATTCAGAAAAGAAAAACTCCAATGATTGTCTTTAAGACTTATTTTATTGAACTATTCAAATTCCAATAACTAATTACTAATCTAAAGATAAATCCTATATGATTAGGGTTATTGAGATTAAACTATATCAGATAATATCAATGAGGTTTAATAATATATTACCAGTTGTTGTTTTGAATAGATTACGCTGAGTTTCAAGTAAGTTTACCGATTTTGGGAACTTAGTATTCATAATAGGTTGCGGATACACATCTTTATCAAAATTATTTATCACAGATAAATCCAAATGTAGTTTTTCACATCTCAACTAGAAAAATCATTGTATTAATATAAAAATCTGAAATGGAACTTATTGAGCAAATTACATTATTGGATTAAATATGTTATATTAATATAATATAATGTATAAGTTAATATTGGATTACCCCAATCTCTCATTAAAATATTAAAATGGCAAAACAATAATTACTTGATGGTTTAAAAACTTCTTAATGGATATCAATTTTTCGCAGAATTCACAAGGCAATTTTTCAACATTGATTTTGTCACTATCATCTTCAGAACTTAAACTCAATGTATTTAAATTGAGCTCACTTTCGCCACTGCTGCTGGATGTATCTAAGTCATGAGGTGGTGTTGGGTACATATCTTTCTCACCATTGGTATTTTTATTATTTGTTTGCAAAACATTATGAAATGTTGCTAAATCTGGACGGCATCCAGTCTACAAAATATCAGTTGAAAAATAATAACACTTACCAGGTAAATAATGTTATAATGTAACTTACTTCATGCAAAACAAGATTTTCAGAGTCAATCATTTCTAAGCAAAACTCGCATGGTAGTTTTACACTATCAAGTGTATCGTTATAATGGTTGTATTCATTTGTTAAATGGTTATTGATATTTGCAGAATGGTTATTAGGAATTGAATAAGCACCAAGTATAGGAAATTCATCATCATCATCATCATCATCAAGATCTAATAAAACAAATTGGTTTGAATTCTAATAATTCAAATGAATAATTAAAAAATATAGCATAGGATAAAACTAATGCATCGGATCATAATATATTAAAATGTATACATTTTATTCATAAACAAACCAAATCACTACATATGGAAACAACAAAAATATAATAAAGTATTAACCACTAAAAATAAATAATGCCAATTGGAAAAAAAGAAACCCTTATTAAAAGAATTATCAAACTTTAGGTAACCATTAAATAAAATTAAAAATATGAATTCTTAAAAAATATACAAAGATGATATGCTAGAAGAAACAATCTTTATATATTTTGTAAATCAAATACTTGGAAAAAATATTCATCAAAAGATTTATTACTTTAATTATTAATTTTTTTTTTAAATTATTACTGAAAAATTAAACGAATTATTACCACTTGGAGTGTCTACTATCGGCATATTCTTTTTTGGATCTTTGTGCGTGGTATCATTACTGCTATGAGTATTAATTTGAGGTTGATCATTGTTGCGTTTGACAGATGGCATTACCCTGTGATTGGTTATGGTTGATTCATTTAGTCTTAATGTGGGCATACTAGTAGTTCTTGTAGGTCTTGCAGTTACTGCAATGTTTGGCACTTTTTTTATTAATGGTGGATATGCTGCCAAACTGCTTGGACTGTCATCTACTACTGGTTGAGCATCTACAGTCAAATTTATAGTAAATACAAAATGCAAATATCTAATAAAACACAATGTTTCCTTTTACCATTAATAAATTCTTTGCGTTCATGAGTTTCCTGGTGTACAGCCAAAAACTTAAGCATGATAAATTGTCCACAACTTTTACAACGTTCTGTACGACTACTGCACATATCTGTATGTGCAGGTAACAAGCAAGCTTCTACATCAAGCTCACAATAGTTACAAGTTTTCATACGGTGACGACAATCATTTAACTAAATAATGTAGCCTATATTATTAATAACAGAATTTTAATAACGTTAAAAGAACATACTTTGTGAGATTCTAAATCTTTTGCTTCAAATTTATCAGAACAGGCATCGCATGAAATAATCGAGTGCATGGTTTTTTGATGCTCTTCATAATCTGAAGTTAGGAACGGTTCGTCACATTTCATGCAAAGCTTCAGGTTACGGTGACAGTAAGCAGTGTGCATTACATGGTTAATGAGTGGAATATTTCTTCGACTAAAACAATAATAATATATTTTGTGAATATAAAATATTTAATGATTTAGTTATTAGGAGTGATACTAATGAACATTAGATTCAGTGGCATAGTAACATAAGGTCTAAGTGTTGCTCAGGTAACACTTTAAGTATGACTAGTATGAGTGTGTGAGTATTGACAGAAGAGAAATAGGACATTTAATAGGTAGGTATAACAATATTGTGAGGAGTAGGTTACCAACAATTATTTAAGCAATTCAGATTGATAATGTATACATAGTTGAATATATATTTATTTATATGTGTACATTTTATGAATGAATGTATTGTTGAAACAATAAAAAACCTGAAATAATCATTAATAATTTATAATGGAAACAAAAATATTAATAAGATACTTTTATTCAAGCATTTATTGTAGGTACTTATCCATATAGAAAATATTTTTTTTTAATTCATCCTGTTAAATCAAATATATAGAAAACCCTTTTAATGATAAATAGGCACAATTAATAACATATCAATATTCAATACTCTTGTCTGTGGTCGGGCACTAATTAGTAAGTACGCATGACCATAAAATATAATATAGTTTCCCGATTTATTTCTAAATGCACCAGAAAAATCTAGCTCTATACAGTTTGCTCAATAAAATATTAATATATTCTATCAGTTATATTTTCTCTAGAACAAATTTGTGAGATTTTATATGACATGTAAGGAAAATACTGATTTTTAGCATAGATACCTACAAACTATAGATCATTGATGAACATAGATGATTGGTGGGAAATAAACAAAACTAATACTATTGAGTATAGATAGTATCTATACTATATACTATCAATACTCAATGCTAATACAAAAGAATGTTTAAAAATCTATTGCACAAAAAAACTACAATAAAGGAGTAATTTTATTCAACATATGGTTCAAAATTACATTACTTAAAAAAATAAATATAGATACTAGATGTAATAAATCATAATTAGATAAGTGTATATGGAAATATCCATGATTAACTGTAAGAAACTCGTATATTTTCCGGAATGATAGGTAGGTTAGGTACCTAAATAATTTTTACAACAAAAACGGGCTGATAACTAAATATTTTAATTTTTGCTATTTACCTACCTATCTAAATTTTGTTATAATAAAAATAATAAATACATTTTGGTTCACAAATTTTGTATAAAAACAGTTAGCAACATAATGAAACAACAGTTTCTATTTATTGTTACATCAAACAATATAAATTCAATTATCATTTTGTTTTAAATCAAAATATAAATTATTATTTACTTTGTAATGGTTTCTATCAAATTACTATGCAAATTTAATGTTTTCAAATTTAATACAATATAATCTTAAATTCTTGAGAGGAATTAAAATGAAAAAAACATATTGTTTAATCTAAGTAAATATTAAGAGGTGTAATTGCACAATCATACAATACTACAATATTATAAGTTATAACATTGATATAGAATGGATCATCTAGAAAAACACTCATTTGCAGTACTTGAGTACTTGCAATGTTTAATGAATAAGATAATAGTAATAGTACATAATATTCAGTAATTTTCATGTGTTATTATGATTTTAAATATTTTTAGTCATTTTATCACAAACATACATAATTTGGAGTATGTAAAAATGTACAATAAAAAATCAATCGTAAGTAAAGAATTATGATTAGTTTTTTTTCATATGGCGCTATGTCCAGGAGTAAGTACGAAAGTCTAGTTCAGAAGCCTAATTTGGTAGAATTTCTAGTCGGCACCCATAGGTTTATGCCATTCTGAGGTGGGGGATGGTTGCTTCTCTTTCTATATAGTCACGGTGACTGCCCAAAGAGAGATGCCGCCGCCCGTGACTGAGGATCAAACCTACGATAGTACGCCTTAGAACGCTTGTCCACTCCGTCCCCATTATGATTAGTAACTGAACATATCAAAAATTATTTTTTATATTATAGATATTAACAATGTCTTAATACAGCCAATTATTTTAAACTCTTCTACGCTTGTTTTTAAGAAACGTAATACATTGTTGTCAAATTTCTAGAGSGAAAAAAAATATAATAGGCCAGAGATATGGATACCGGTTAGGTTAGGTTTGACAAAGGGAGCAGTCAGAGAACTAGAATTCAATAGACTATAGAATTACTTTTAATTAAAGTGATAATGAATGTTCAAAGTTCAATCGTAATAGTCATAAAAATGAATGTTTGTATTGTATCTGTCAAGGATTCACCATTAATTAAGGGAATGTTATACCAGCATGTGCTGTCTCCGTCTAACAAGTGTGTAACATAGCAAATTTTATGATCATGCTTAACTTCGATAGTTTAAAATTAAGAGTGAATTGACTTCATATAAAATTAAAGGTAAGATTATCTAGGGCATCACATGGGCTTTTTAATTATATTTTAATTTAAAGCGAGTTATATGTATTTTAAAATTGTAAATTGTTAATATATCTTAAAATACTCATTACTCGCTTTAAAATTAAATTATAATTAAAAGCTCATGAGATGCTTTAGATAATAATCTTGCCTTTAATTTTTAAAAAAGGTTAATTCACTCAACATTTTAAACTAATAGATCTAAAAGTGATCTGCTGAACGTAAAATTTGTTATGTTACACACTTACGTCCTCTTTAAGAGTTGCCAATAAATTGGGAGCCATAAAAATATCATGAAGACTCGGAAGAGCCATGGAATGAAAAAGTTGAAATATTTCTGCAGTCTGTTCTAGATATCTACTCATATAATAATGGGAGACTCTCAATAATTCTAACCTTAGATTATTCAAAAATTTAGTCATAGTAGTGGCTTGTTTCCTTAAAAATAATACAATTCAAATAAAATTGCATATAAGTTGACTCAGTAATTCGTAGTAAAATTTTAGGAAAAACACAACAATTCAAAGCCTATTTACCAAAATGCTTTTCTTATTATCATATCATTAATGATTTTCCTTATAATTGAATATAAATTTAGCTTATGATTTCAGATAACTATTGAATTATTATTGTAAGTACTAATACTAAGCCTTCATTACCAAATATGGTGATCTATTTAAGTATCAAGAACCATACAGCAAAATGTAATAGTGCTATAGTGGCTAGTTACAATAGGTAATATTATTTTATTATTGTACTTCAGAATTTTGATACAATCCATTTAATTTATATTCTTACTAAGTTCTTAGTTAGTTTATATCAGTACATTTTACAAAATTTAATTCCACCTCATCTATTATTTTTAAGTATATGCTATGAAAAAAATGGCCCATATGACCAATTAAAATAAAAATAAAAACTAGGTATTCAGTGATAATATTCAATTGGATTATTGTTGGATTAATTTAAGCTCTTAAAACATCTATAATTTTGAATAAAATACTTATAATTAACTTAAATATTTGCATTTTGGATTAAAAGTCAGTGATATAGGTATCAATATCATAAATGAATAATAATAATTTCTAACTATCTACACTACATGGATACTAAGTACTGAAATTTTAAATAAATATGTTATGTATTATAGTCCACAACATTTGTAGACATAAAATTGATAATTTGTATAGAAAGGAAAAAACATGGAGATTGTAAATTAACTACCTAAGGAATACAGACATTTTTGTTTAGTTTCAATACGATTAGAAGTGAATACTGAAAAGAAGTATGGTATATCTGTACTATGCTAACAGAATGATTGTGCCAAGAATCATGATGCCGACTGTTAAAGTAGCATTCAAAATTGTAAGGCTATTAGACATATTAAGTCGAGTATTAAGTTAAGTTAAGACCAAGTTAAAATAAAACCAATTGATATTTATKGTGGAATTTCGGGTTTGATGCATTTTAACACACACACACAATAAAGCTAAAAATCAAAATGGTCGTTTAGACAATTATAATTATAATTTAATGAAACTTACCAATTGAAACAATATTTGGTATCTTCATCGTTTTCGTTTGGGTCCATTTTAAAATCGTCCTGGTACCGTTTTACCGGCYAATTCCGAAGTCGTGTTTTTATTTATGATAATATATAAATTTAATATGATTTTATTATTTCAGGGTAAGCTACGTACACAGGAACATCGTTTCACAACTCACATTATTCACACTTGGTTTAGTCACTTCAGAAGTTCAGACTTCAGACTTCAGAATTTAGAGTCCCACACAATATAATTCGTTTTTGATAAAGAACGGGTAGACATTGAGACATTGCAATTTGCAATAGATAAGAATAAATCGAAAACGCTACTATATAGGTTAGGCCGGTAGACGGTAATGTGAGCTCGTTGTTGGAATCTTGGAATGTTTTGAAAATATTTATTTTTTTCAACAAATGACAACAATTAATCCTAGTCAATCAAAGTCAAATTCTATTTAAATAGTATAATATATTAATATGCTGTCGTACCTAGACTGTCTATGATTTAGATATTTAGAAAAATAAGGTTGCCRTTAATCACTAATCAATGTATTACAGATTCAAACGATTTTTTTATTATATTTTGTTATCGTAATTTAAAAATGTAAAATTGATGTTTCCATGAGATTTCCGTAGAGCGACGTACTGAAATAACGACTTGAAAATTATGAAATTCGGATAATATATTACGCTACATTGTTCAGAAATTTTGTGATTACTGCAAATTAATATAATATTTATTATTTATATATCTAATGATTCAGATACCACCGTAGAATTAATAATATGGTAATTAATTAGTGATAAGTAATAACTAATAAATAAATAATAACCATTAATAATAATATAGATGTATATCCGCATCCACGAGTATCATCTACGTCTTACTAATGCCTAAATTTCAGAAAATTTCAAGTTCAGAAAAATCCATTTTACTCTGTTATCTTAACGAAACCCGGAATAAAAATCCCCGGAAAAAAATAATAATGATAATAAAAAATCCCCAAAGCAACTAATTAGTATTAAATTATAATAATAAAAATAATTATATTATCTTATATTATATCTTTATACCTATATTATTAATTAATATATATATATATCATTGAAATATGCAACAAATATGCATTTACAAAATTTATATTTAAAAATTCAAAGTTGTACTAAGTATGAAAAAAGTATAAAATAATAAAATATATAAATGTATAAATAAGAACACGTATAAATAAATACATAAATATGACTGTTACCGACCAAAATGTTCACATTCATACCACAAATTTAGTGTGCAATAAGAAAGCATTTTACAGATATAATTGATATAAAAAAGGTTCGCGGGCTGCCAGTTGCATAAGGCAATAAAATGTGAAATTGGGAAAATACAAGTTATAAAATAATTATTTACACGTCTATCAATACGTTATTATAACGGTTACGGTTAGTACATCTTCAGTTCCTGTTAAGTAACTTTAATTTGTGTGCTGTGCGACTATGGAAATCGTTAAATCTAATCAAGGGAACGATAAAATTTGCTTAAATGGTTATAGTTATGTACACCAAAAAGACTGTACGTTTTTCAAGAGATGGAGGTGTGCAAAATATAGTATATTTAAATGTTTAGCTATTTTAAAAACATCGTATCAAAATAGTAATCCAAGGGAGATCCATGAACACAATCATTCTACCGATAAAAATGGTAAGATTTATTTTAATTTAATAATTTTACATAATATAGTTAGGACACTTATATATTTATGTGTTATAAATATGTTCTCAAATTTTAATTATTTTGTCATAATTAATTTTATATAAACCTAGTTATATTTTAAGCTGGTAGGTAAAAAAATTGTTGCCATTTATTTAGGCCATTTTTGACGATTTTAGTGCATTTTCTTAGTTTTTAGAGAATTTTTTCCAATTTCGTTCATAACATGAGCGAAAATTGTTGCGATTTAAAAGAAACTTTCTGCAAACTGCCGACGGCGACAGTACGAATAATATATAGCACGACAAATTATTGTCGATAACAATATTTTATCATAGGCTTCGATAGGTACCTATTAATGAATTAGTACCAAAAATACCTAGAAGTACCTGAAATAGTTACCAACTAATATACATACTCTAATAGTCTAATAAACTAATTAGGTATATTATTATAATTATGTATTTTTTTAAATAGTTGCTTTGGGGATTTTTTTCCGGGGATTTTTTTTTCTGGGGATTTTATTTACCGGGGATTTTTTTTTCCGATTACCATCTTAACTATTAAAGTGAATATTGATTTATTATCAAATGTAAATATAACATAACCTATGACACCGGCACACCGCGTATAAGAATTTTTAAAATTCTTATACGCGGTGAATTTTATGATATTTTATTATTTTATATATAATTTTGAAATAAGCTCCGAATGCTTTGGTAGCATTTAATAATTATAATTTTGTGCCAAATCTAAGACACTTGATGAATTACTCTAAAAATAACTGTTTGTAGATCTCTGGACAATATTATTAGGTACCCTTAAATAGTTAAATTTGTAGGATGAACAATTCCGTTGCTTATAAAAATGTTATTTTATAAAATAAAATATTAAAAAAATGGATTTATATTAAACTTAGAAGTAAGAATGTCTACTAGAATGTTACATCATTTTAGTTCATAGTTCAAAATATTATACAAAACATATCATATTACCTATCATAGCAGCTAGGGCACTCACAAGGGGGTAGCGTGCATGTAAGCACTGTAAGCACTGCTTACACTTTAAATGAAACAAAAAATAAATTTGATCAATCACGACCAATAGATAATAAATGATTTTTAAAATTTTAATTTTATTTATAAAATATTTAAGTTATAGCTGGTAGTGGTTTTTGTTGTTGTTTATTTGTGTCGTACGCACGTACGCTGTATACTATTTTAAGAAAATCATCGATTGTAGGTCTATTTTTAATCTATTTTGTATTATCATAATTCATAATACGATATACAGTGTACACAGACTTCTATAGAAGTCTGTGACAGTGTATCACATTCTGAAATTGATTAGTGATTACGCGCAACTGTTGTTTTCGAATAGTCTATAATGCCATAGTGGGGGTCACGTATTTAACTATTGTTTGTAAGCACATTTGATTATGCTTACGCGAGATGCGAGAAACAAGGAGCTTAGGAGCGACCGCCGAGTGCCGACCAGTACGTAGCCACTAGCCCGACGCGTTGTACTGTTGTAGACTGTAGTCGTTTTTACGTACACTGTCACTGTCATTCGCCTAATAGACTTTTGAAGTATTTATACTTCAATTTCTTTATTTTCTCGAAGACTCGAATTTATAACATGGATTCATTAAAAATTTTTAAAGGATAACATTTTTTTATACATAATTTATAATTAGGTATTTAGGTATAGTACCTATATTCTAATCACTTTTGAAAAAAAAATTCTCTGCTTACATCTTTTTAATACCCACGCCACGCCACTGGGGGGCTTAGACCTGGAGTACAAAAGCTGAAAAGCCCGTTGAAATTAATCTGTTAATTTTGAAATTTTTGAAATATTTGGTAGGAATAGATACTAATTTTATATTAAATAATATTCTATGATAAAACTTATGCCTTGTTTACACGTGACGAGTACTCGGCCGAGCTCTGTCCCGTGTGAACACTGTGAACTCAAGGAACCAGTACTCGGCCTAGTAATCTAGAATTCTAGAGATGTGTCGTTCGCGAACGAACGGATCTTATTGAACGGTTCAAAGTAGTGAACGAGTGATCCAGATCGCCAAACTGAGGTGATTCGGATCACTGATATTTTTTTTCCGTATTGGTTCACACTGTGTCCCGAATCACCGAATCATATTATTATTATACTATTATATTTATTTATTACTCATGTCACAAACGACACGAACGACGCGAACCGTTTGGGAACCACGACGATAGAACATAATATTCCCGTTCAATGGTTCTGATTCAATATATGCTCAAAATAACCTATCAGATCGCGAACGGGTCTTTGAACCGGATCTTCTTGATGACCTGATCTGAATGAATCGGATCACTTAAATGAACCATAATTCCCATCTCTACAGTAATCGGACGATTAAAATAAGCGGGCGAGTGAATAGAAACAGTTTCTATTCGCTGGGCCGAGTGACTACCCCCACTACCAAGACGGAGCAACATAACGAGTGACACAGCCGAGTACTCGTCACGTGTAAACAAGGCATTATATATTATTATATAATATTATTATATATTATTATTATATAGGACGCCATACGGGCATTTGTTTTGGGAGTTACCCTTACCCGTTTCCGCCAAAAGTGTACCTTTCCCTTTTCCCCCAATACACTTTTCCGCCAAATCATAAATGTAAGTTTAGAATTTGAATAATGTTTGAATATTATATATAAAATATGCATGTCTGTTATTATCTATTAAAGATTGAAAAATTATAAATAATAATTATTATATTATATACATTACATAAATAATTGAAAAACYATTAGGTTGGTATCTAAATAAACATTATTAGGTATTGTGTTATAGCATTATCATATACAAACAAACAACATTCAAATTATAAATATTATTATATATTATCTATATTACTACTTATACTTTACTATAGTTGTATGATATTACTTTAACTGTAAAGTTAGTCTAGTATTTGAATAATGTTTGAATATTATGTATACAATATACATGTCAATCATATTATAATTTTACTATACTATAAGTAAGCTCAGTAAAGTATAAGTAGTAATATAGTAGTAATAGTATAGTAAAATT